TGAATGTGAAATCAATTTTCCAGAGAAACGGCGGAGGAGAAGCAGATTGAGAAGTGTGACTGAGAGAGAGAGAGAGAGGAAACGGCCAAAGCTCAGGGGCTGAGTGAGAGACTGAGAGCAGAGTGTGAACTGTGCAGCAGAGAGAGCTGCAGCCAGCAGTGCAGAGTGTTGTTTGTTTCCTTCTGTCGCCACGCGCCCGCATTATAGGGAAGTGGAGGCTACTCTCTCCTCTCTCAACAAGCTAATTCCTTATTTATATTAACGGTAACTTTTTTAATTTTCTTCTAGCTTATAGTATAACTTATAAGCATTTTGAACGGCGTCGTTTATGCCTTTATGGTCTAAAGATGGGTTCGTCGACATGGCAATTAGGAACGTGTAGCGGGTTTGTACTACACTACAATAAGCTGAATCGACATCACAACCACCTTATAGTATGCTACAAAAAAAAAAAAATGGACCGAATCGATACATTATATCAAACCAAATCGAATATTTGATTCGTACATTTTCCTTCCATTTGAGTCGTGGTTTTCATTATTTGATTCGATCTTATCTCCATCATATGCGTTGCACACACCTAGTGATACAATCACCCCAAGAAATAAAATGGCAAAGTACTATTCTTTGTCTCTTAAAGGTTTGATATTAAACAACATTTCCACTTACACCAACTGATTTATGGATCAAATTCCATCCATGACTGATTCCCAACTTGAAGATTACACATTCAAATCCTATGGTGAATTCACACCTTCCCTGCAAAACTCATTTCAGTAGGATTTAAGAAAATCAAAACATAACAGAATACACCCATGTGATCAAGTATAAAGCATAATAACACGATGAATCTCATATAGCTGATTCTCATTCATACACTTCTCTCCCTGTTTTAGGAACGATTTACAAGTAGAAAGAGTTGCATACGGAATCGCAAGGTTAAGACCCTGAAGAATTCTGGGTTTTAAATCAAGCTTCTTCTACAGACCTGAAATGCATACATACATTAATCATCTCCTAGCTAGTTTACAATCATACAAAGATTACTGCTGTCTCTTCTGTAGTTAGGAAAGGGCTCACAGCCGCTGTCGATACACCAGCAGCGCGAAAACACGAACTCGATCCGACAGTTCGACACGAGTTATGGACGTGCAGAGAACACGCAGCATCAGCAGCAGTACCTTAGCAGAATCATCTAGCAAGAGGCCTATCCCATCTTTCTTCCAAATGAAAAACCCCTGCATTTTGTGTTAAAACTTTTAAGATATGGACAATCTTATGAGGACAAATTTTGGAGACATCACCTTTCGGCGAGAAAATGGATTACAGATAGATTTCCAATGGCCTCTGCAGTGTAGCAAATTTTGACTGGGAATCTGAAAGGACGTGGGCTTGTTCACTGTTCACTAGCGCCCCCAAAATTCTGAAAGTTGCATTAGCTTGCTGAAATCCGAGTTTCCCATATGGGCGCCTCCTTGTGGCCATAGAAAAGGACGAAGAAAGAACCTTTTTTAGTCCAAATCACAATCATTCTCCACTACCATAAATGCATGCAAATCACAGACAGCATTGATATTCAAGTACAGAGATCATATATGGGCAACATTCCAAGATCGAAAACAGGGTGGCTGGGACCTGACTTTTTATAGCCAAGATATTCTTATAGTGAAATTTGATAAGCGTAATTAGGGTATCATAAAGGATAAGGAGACATTTGCTTGATCTACTTGTTTCATAGTTCGCTCTAGTTGAGAAGAAGCCTTGTGTTTGTTGTCTTGATGCTCTGAGTAAGGATCCTTTTGTTCAATTGTTGGATTCAGTTGTAAATGATGACTATATAGGATAAAGAGATATTGACTACAATATTGATTACTCGGTTTGTGCAAAGGAGCTCGAATCTCTAAGACAACTTTGTTTTCGAAGTTGAGTGGCATGTCGAGCTCAGGATTTGGTTGATGGTAACCTTACCCAGGAGTATGCAATTTTATCATGGAGGAGAGCTTTGGACGAGATGGACTTGCAAACGCCTTCGATCAAGTGATTGATGGCGCCTTCCTTTAGAGATTAATGAAATTGCGGAATCTTGTAGTCTTTGATTTCCTGTGGCGGCGAGACATCCACACCTAAAATTCGAGAAAATATTTATAGGTCTCTGAATAGTAGTTTCATGTTTGCAGTCAAATTTGTAGCTCAAGGATTCCAAGCTTCTTTTCAACAAGTGAAACATATGGGTGTTAAGAATATTTTTGGCTTTTTTTTAGCCCATTCGACTAGGTTGGCGGTTTGAAAGAGAGATTGGGCCACGGAAAGAGAGGATTGAAGTTGTTTCGATGAGTTCAGTGAACCGAATGAAGAATGAAGGAAGTGAAGAATACCAATAAGAAGTGTTGTGCAGATTCTAAGAATGAATTATATGAATTGTGAAGAGTGAAGAGAGTATTGGGCGTTCAGAAGAAGCAACTACGTGCTTCTTCCATCTTCTTAAATTACTCCTTTCGGCAGGACAATGCATTAGAGTTGTTTCTGTGGAATCACTGGCTTTCTCAGAGTTTGTTATTCCTTAAAAGGTTAAGTCTTAAAAACCTTTAATGCTTTTTATAGACACTCTAAGTTCAATTAATGGCTTCTCATATGCTATTTTCATTTGTGATTAATGACTCATTTGTTCCGACAAGTTTGTTGCTAAATCGCAAAATTATCGTCAAAGGAGATGAATTGGCCAAGGGGGTTCCTCGAGCCAGCTTACAAAGACATTCTCTTTTATTACGAGTCCTTGTCATGAGAGCGACTATCTTTTTTCTTTCTTTTCTCGTTGTTGACCTTGGTATTGCAACAAGGACTTAGAATTGTACTTGGATTATTAGGTTGGTCTCCAACTCCACTTGATTAGGTAAACCGATCTAACAGGTCTATGTTTGTTCAATTTATCGAGCCTTACCCAAATAGTTCTTGTCCCCAACTTTACAAACATAAGTCAAGGATCTTGCACTGTACCGGAATAAAATGTCATGTTTTGCTTCGGTCTTTCTCTAAGAGCATGTTGGCTCAGAGTGACAAGGTTTGGTGTTTAAACTATGGTTCTGCTCTTGGCAATAATCACATTCATTGAACGCAAAGTTACCATTCATGGTGTTAGGACGAATATGGACGCGATGGCTCTAATCAAGACATAAGATTTTAGGTTGAAGTGTACCTTAGAATTGTGATCCACACATTTGCTCAGTCAAACAAAACAATCACATGTCAATTCATTTGTAGCTTCGTCCTCAATTAGAGACTAGAATGACATTCGTTAATTTTCGTCATTACTGAGTGGAGTGTAAGTTAGTGAACCAAGCTATGGCCAATTGCATGAAATCCATAACAGCAGTGGGTACATGGAAATCAAGTTAGGCAAGGGAACAACAACGTGATGTCGAGTGACAAAGCATCCATCCCTATTGAATTAGGTCTAACGCGTCAATGGCAAATAAATTGTTTGTTATGCTTGTAGTGCCATGTGGTTCCTCGGGTGTAAAGACCTTTAGATATCCAATTCTCCTTCATCTAGGATAAGAGGCCCTTGAAACCTTTGCTTTGTTTGCAACTTCTTCATTGCCTTTCTATGCATAGGCTTATTGAAAGCCTAGAAAGACTGATCTTAACATCTTCTGCAAACTTTTGTGATTGTATCGCCCTCTTAATCCGAGGTTGAAACTTTTGATTCTATCTACTCTTAACATCTTCTGCCAATAGTTGCGATTGTATGTCTCATTCCGAAAAGTGAACTTGTGTTGATTGAAGAGACTTTCGCGGTCCACCATATTGGGCTAGTACCAAAGCCCTTATTCCCTTGCGCTAGAGTTGTTAATCCAGATAAAGTTGCATGTACAATGACCTACTACTAAATATCAACCTTGCTATGGAATGCAAAGGCTCGAGCAAAGTTATATCAATGAGGCACAACGACAGTGTATGCTCATGCACAAGGGACATCGACCGGGCTAAGGAAGCCCCTATATTGAGAGAGAACCCATCGTAAAGGAGGCTTAACGTCGGTTGGACTAACATATCTTTCTAGCATGGCAATGTGCTTTATCCCCAATGAGATACCAAAGATCTTTAAGCAGTACTATCTTTCCATGTAGTCAATAGCACCAAACAAACGATGGTATCAAGGCTTTTTCCTTTGATCGTATCAATTGAGCATCATAAAGCCATCCAAGGTTATTGGGTTCTTAACAATGGTGCCACTGATGGACCTTGCGCATGCTCAAACACTGTTGACTGCTTCGTGCTCAAATCTTATACCTTACAAGTAATACTGCAACACATGCATCAACGATCTAGTACATAAATGTTGAGGCCTAAAGTCGATAGTGCGAGCACTAAAAACACTTTGGTGAAGAAGCATATAGCTACCAACGGCATTAAACATGCATCTCTTCGAAATGTACACCGCGACTACTTCAGTAACATTCCTAACAAACACTTCGGTGAAGAAGCATATAGCTTCCAACGGCATTAAACATGCATCTCTTCGAAATGTACACCGCGACTACTTCAGTAACATTCCTAACAAACCATTTATACGGACATCCTAAACCGCATATTTGGGCTAACTACCACTACTTGTCTTCCTTTTTATCCGGTCATTTCTTTCTTTTTTGGGACTTTTTCCTCTCCTAAGCATATTGTGATTTGCTTTCCCTTTCTTGTTGGTTGGCTTGGGTTGGTTCCCCACGACTGTTCCTCTCATATCTGTCTAGCTACTTCGTTTCTCTCTCTATCGATCGACCCCTTTTTTCCCCCTCATTGGCCTTAAGAATACTTTCTCGCTTTGATCACGATATGGATGTATACCCACCAGATACCTATAATCTAGCAAGTCATAGCTTATAGCTTTAGGTGTGGCAAATGGATGCTACAATCCCACTAGTATAAGACTCAAACTCTAATTGTTGCACGATGCTACAGTCCCAGACTATATGCAGCAGTAAGGATTCCTCGAAATTGAGAGCATTAGCTAGAAGTAGATGTGACAAATGGATTGAATTCTCATGAATTGATGGATTGGATTGATAGATCTATGGATCAACTGGATTTGTGGATACATGGATTGAATCATATGGATTTGTAGACTCATTCATCCAAATGATATCCAAGCTTTGAACCAATATGTAAATTTTGATAAGTCTAGTTACTAAAATGTCATAGTAAAACATTTAGGTACCAAAACATAATGACATGAACTACTCTTTTAACGAAAACAACCAGTAATCCCCAAAAGACCTTCTCAAGAAGGGGCAATAAAGCCCTTGCTAATTCTCAAGAGCTTAGTGGCCTTTGGAAGGGATACTCAAGATAAAAGCATAAAGCCAACCACAATTGGCTTATGCGACAGCCCCAAATCCCCCTCATATTGGCTTAAAGGCATGCTCTTAGAAGTCGAGCAAGCCTGCAGTTTATGCTCTAAATTAACGGAACTTATTCTGAATTCTAAGACGAGATTTCCATTAGTCAAACAGTGATCAACTAGCAATCACTAAATTCAGAAAGCTGCCGCCGGAAGATGAAGAGAAAAAGGAGATTGAAGGCTAACTAACTGGGCAGCAGAAGTTCAAAATAACAGCAGAAATAAACCACCACGTTATCTACAACTAGATGGAATAGAAAGTTCATACCATCCTCCATCTCCCCTGAGCAGAGTAGTTCGAGCCGTTCAGGCAAAATAGTGAAGTTGCCGAGGGCGGAGAGTTTGCTTCACATTAGGGCCACTACCTTCCGCTGCACATGAATTCACATTCGGTCCCAAGAAATTCTCCTTCGACCCTGAGAAAGTTCATTTACATTCTGACCTGCAAACAAACTGACTAGATAGTGACTGATTGTTTCAAATCCATAATTCTGACCATGATGGAAATATGAATTAAGAAAGACCAAGTTAGATATGGGCATATGGCCAAGCCAAATATAGGTGACTGGCAAGCTTCATTGAGAATCAACAAGTCAGAAAGAGCTCAGAGAGTTGGCCAACGAAAATTACAGTCAGAGCAAATAAAGATTGGTCAACAGCAAATGGAGATACACGTTTCAAATTTGTAGCTGCAATGCACAGTACTTACCAAAAAGTTGACGAAACAGGAGCACCATCCCTCACTCAGTAGACTTAAAACGATCTATAAGTACCTTCAGTTCCTCACCTTGTTGCTGAAGTCCAACGAGAGCATGACCAGTTATGGTATTTTAACAAGAATGAGAATTTCAATTTTCTGATGGGAAAAATGCAGAGGAATCTGACATACCTTGTGTATGGCTTCCCATGTTAGATTCACTCTTGCTTGATGCACAGCCCAGTCAATAGCCATTTCATGCTCAATTGTATTGGGTTGCGAACAATGAGAAGTAGACACAGCCTCTCTCTGCAGGATAAAATAGGAAATGATACGGGAAAGTTCAACTAAAAAACAAAGAATAAAAAACAATACTGCTAAACAAGTTTTGAGATGTAGCAAAAGCAATGCAGATTTAATTTTACCTTGTCACGATGAGTTTGGTGTTTCAGTTTATCAATACCAAAATGACCAAAAAAAGGTGACTGTTTTCCTTTAAAAGCACTAGAGGCTAGCCTAGCCACAAGGACCCTGACCAGAACACAGAAAAAATAATAATTTCATATTAGTCGTTAATTAGTTGACTATACATGTTTAGGATCTCAAAAAATCAATCTGGAAAATCACTACTGCACAAAGTTTTGCCATACCTTCCACCAGGTAACACCAAACAATGCCTGTCCAATTTCGCAACCACCCTTCCTGCCACTTCCTTTGACGAGAATTTGACAAAAGCTTGACCTTCAGCAAGAAAGATCAAATGGATCAAAAAAGGCAAGAACAAAAAAAAAATGGGTGAAAAGATAGTAAGAAAGCAAAATGACAAAGCTGGGGAGCATTCCCCTTCACTTCATTCCAAGTAGTACCGAAATTAGGGCTGGAAAGAGCTGTCCGCTGAACCATCTTTGCAGAGCAATTTTCCTTCAGAGCATCCTTGATCAACTCCTGATCCACAAGAACCATCATGATGATCCAGCCAAATAAAGAAACTGGTGTATTGCAGATTGCACTACAGACACGAAGTGAATGTATCACATCATAAAAGAACTCCATATTCTTCAACGAGCATTACCTTCACCTCGTCTGATGTGTATGATGGTTCCAAGTTTAGAAGGAGAACGAGACTTCCATTCTCATACCCATCTTCCATTGCTTCATCCCAAGGCTGGCCATAACACATGGCTGAACCAATTAGTACAATGGGTAGCAAATTGAGGAAACAAAGCAATGTCTAATTATGAGCTCTATATTTGAATACATTTCACCCATGCAGTTATTTTTTAGTCCGTAGATATAAAGGTTTGTCTGTGGCAGAAAAGTTAACGTACTTGCATGACGGATTACGGCAGTTGGCTAAAATCAAGCTCAGAAAATTCCTCACTATGTTTGTACGACAGGAAAACTCTTGCTAGAAGTACCTCTATATTAACGGAGAATCAATTATCCCTTATTCCTAAGTTACCCATCAAGTCATATTCCAGGATATTTTAAGAAAAGAAAGCACCAACACCTTGTGAGTTGACTACAAAATTTCTGATGTGAAAACAAGTTATTAGGGACATGTTTAATTGCGGAGTGGGGTAAAAAGACAATGATCAACCACGGTATCAAAGGAAGCAACCTAATACTCTGTGAATAGCACCAAAACTACCACACGGCCAACATGACCACCAAATAGCAATTTCATCTCAGAACCACCAGCTCAAAACTTAGCAGTATCATAATTATACCTTGCCAAAGTATTTTATTATATCCTCAATAAAAGAGAATATGAAATGACCATATAACCAAAGCAATTGTTAAAAAAACTCAATAAATGACAGAATGCACAGAAATGGAATTACAAACATAAATAAAAAAGAGCAAAAGCCAACACAAAGATGGAGATGAGATACTCACTTGTTCTTTGCACCATCTTGATCTTCTTTCCTCCTATGATATGAGTAAACAACTTATTAACAAACTCACAACATGAATCCTTAATCACAGGGCATGGTCAATCCAAAGAGACATCAGGAGAAGCTCCTAATAAGATAAATAGTCAAATGAAAGCATTCTCTCCTTTGTTTATGAAGTTAAATGTGAAGATTTTCTTGGGACAAAGCAGATTTTGTCCAGTATGTTGAAATAGACACAAAACAATGGCCAAGTAACGTGTGTTAAACAATCATTACACTCAAGTGATTTCGCTATTTAAGTTAAGCGTGAACGAACCTAGATGATACACCAAGGTCTAATAAGCTTCAAATCAGATCAAGCTTGAAGGAGACTACATGCTTAATACGCTATTCTGAAAACTTAATTTAATTCAAAAGATAAAAAGTTTGCACTAAGAAAACGAGAAGAACTCAGAATAAATGAGTAGTCAATTGAAACCCTAACAATGCAACTCACAATGCTAATGGCTTCAGACCCTTGATTATCAACCCTTTTCCTTTCATCGGTAGATTGGACTGGTGATGGTTTAGGCAACTTTGCACTAGCAAGCCTATTATGCTCTCCTTCCAGTTTTCGCTTCTTAAGACCTTCTTTATTCTTGGGTACATCCTTTGAACTTTTAGAGTTTTCCACAGTTCTCGTAATTGTGGAGGGTTTAGTCCTCCTACTCTCTCTATTAAACAAATATTTAGCTGCAAGAATTATGAAATGTCACATGTAAGGATCTAACACACATGCACACACAACGCACACAAGGCAGACAATAATAATTCAGTAATCGCGAAAAGAAACAAGTGCTGAATATCTAAAGTTACATACTCTCCACTTTAGCAATTTTATTATCCATCTTTTCCACAATCTCGCAACTCCCTACATCAAAGGCCCGGTGAAAGACATAGTCTGCACCGATGATCTCTTCCTCTAAGGGTTGACGATTCCTACGATCGCTTGAAGTGCATACCACTTTGCATTTTCCCGCAATGGCTTCCTGATTAGTCATGGATATTTATATTTACTTACCCAGCTTATTAAGGACACGACATCTTTAGAATACTACGTCTACAAGAGAAAGCAATGAATAGTTAATCACAGTAAGAACCACACTTACCACGGGATTAACATCAGAAAGCCCTACCCCCACCCCGGCTGCCAAAAGCAGTTCATTCTCCAGAAAGGTCTCCCCTCTCAAGTAATATGTAATATCGCGAGGGCGAAAGTACCACAAGATCGTACATAGTTTACGGCCTTGAGGAGTCTCCCACAGTCTCACCAGCTTCCCTATCTCAGGCTCGTCACAGTCTGCTCGGTACATATACACCGAGTCATACAATCTATATTTCATGCCATCATACATGAAGGACTCATAAAACTGGACGTCATTATTCTTTCCACCCATCGATCGCTTTTGTAGCCACTGGAATTCATTCCTGCTCGGTTCATCAACTTCAGCCATCCTCTATTTCGTAACATTCAGACAAACACAAACAACCAACGAAAACGAATTGTAAATCTCACCACCATGCTCAATATTTATGCATAAAGATAATGAAATTCCAAGTAAAAATACACCAAATAAGCAACACCGCCACTGCCTCACATTTAAGCAATGTAACCACCGCGGAAAACCGGCATGCAAAAGAGCATAGACTGGGAAAGAACTCGCACAGAGAAAATGTAATTTAGGGCAAAAGAAATTAAACCAGCGAGCCAGTCACTTGCCGACGGGGGCGGCGATGAAAAGGAGCAGTTCAAGAAATCGAGCAGTCGGAGGAAGACTCTTACCGGCTGCCGAATTCGAACTCCGAAGAAACCCTCACTTGCCGACGGAGGCAACGACGAACACAGCAATGCGATAATCTAAAGGTCGGAGGAGGACTCTCGCCGGCAGCCGAAAATGAACTCCGATGGAACCCTAGTTGCAAGTTACCGGAGCAACGAAACGGTTCACTTTCCCCTCGCTTCGAGTGTTTCTCCGTTCGCGGTTGATTATCAGTTTTCCTTTTCTCTTTTTCGCTCCCAGTTAAGCACTGGAGTGGAGTGTCGAAGGCGTATATATACACACATGGTGACACGCGGTTTTTCTCGCGGGATGAATTGTGACGATTTTTGAAAACCGAATCGGTTGGTTTCATCGGTAAAATCACTAACCATTAACCAATCACATGTTCGATCTAATTGGTGTAACCGACCGTCATTTGTGAACCGATCGGCTCGATGTCGGTCTGATTGGTATAATTCCCGAGTAAATATCTGGATAATATAAGGGGTCGTTCGGTAGTTGTGATTGTTAGACTTGTGTTTATTGAATACATGTATTGTGTACAATACAATGTTTAGAAGTACCAAAGTGTAAAACAATGATTGTATTGTTTTAGGTAGGTTCCACCAACAATCACACAAAAATGATTCATTATACAATCTCAACTAAAAGTTGTGATTGTTGTCATTGTTTATTTTAGATTTGTGTCCACTTTTTCTTTTCATCTATATCCCTATTAATTTTTGTCTTGTGGTAAAAGTTGAGGGTAAATGTGACATTTCCCTATAAAGTAACTTTATACAAGTCAATACATCATTTAAAATCTCATCAACCAAACAATGTATTATTGAAATGCATCCATTGTACCAATACATGTATTTACATTATTGTGATTCATTACAATGCAACGATTTAACATTCACAACTTCCAAACGACCCCTAATAATATGTAAGATAGCAAATCTCTTAACCTGTGAATTCTCCATTGTTAATTCCTAAATAATTATTGTCAATTATTATCTAGCTACAATCAAGTTAAAACTAAAGCCAATTTGGTATGTGCCTTTACAAAGGTGAGGTGTAACATTCTATGCTTCTTCTCATTCCTTTACACTTCCTTCTTTAGGGGTTAGTGAGTTTAATCACGCATAGAGGAATTTCTAAATAAACGAGCAAAGCAACGACGATTTAGAGAGAATAATGGGACGATTGATGTACACTTCGGTCGAGCATAAAGACGTCATGGTGTACATGTGCTACAGTTCAGATTGTTAGAAGAAGACAAATACCTGAGCTAATTAGAGAGTCAGAGATGAGGAGAAGAGGTCGTCTGGATCGGTGGATAGTGGACACTCGATAAAGGGAAATATGAGTGATATGTAGAGGATGAGTTTCGCAACAGACGAGCTAGCGGTGGTCGGCAGCTAGGGACGAGCTTAGCAAACGAAGGAGTGACTGGCTGCTGCAATCATATTGTTGTGACGAGCAACAAATAAAGCGGGTGGTGGTTAACAATGAGAAACAAAGAAAGGGGTCATTAATGTTGTGATTTAGGGGTTCCAAATTTTCCTTTCTTCGTTTTTTTAAACCAAAACTGCTACGTTTTGTGGATGCATGGAGTTTTTTTTTTATTTAACATACCATCCGGCAGAACTAACACCCGCCAGTATTTTGCGACTCGCCGGTTGGATTGCCGATATTGGTCGACATGGAAAGCCATTTAATGGATGAGGCAACTCCATGCGACTTTTGTTGTTTAAGCTTGTGTTTCTTCGTCTACTCTAATGAAAGTAGAAAAGGTCTTTTTATAACATATAGAGTCAAATCTTGCACATAGGGTAAATAGTTCGACACACGATATAGACACATTGTTCTTTCTAGGGTTGTTTTCTAAGCACGTCATGACTCATGATTCAGCCTTCGGGCGATAATTGGGCGAAGGTACCCTCTACAAAAACATGTATGTGTCCATTTGTATTCTTGTGGCATGGTAGTTCACTCCATCCTAATGAGATTCTGTTAAACTCGATGTTTTCTTCAGTTTACGTCTTCTACATACAAGGAAGAACGTTGTCATATAAACAATCGTGTTTAACTCATTTTCATGCATTACTCGATCCTTGCACTTTTGGTCTCAAATCAATCCATGATTGTTCCTCAAAGTCATGGGCCTCTCAATAATACTCAATCAACAAGCCAACACATAAAAAATGGTTAGTTGGCTAACATAAATAGTTAGCAGTGCAAGCCTAAGACACCAATGTGCATAAGAAAAGTATACATAAATTTGTAGCATTATGCATTTATGAAAAGATCTCATTGGATACGGTGATAAGTGTCAATTATAAATGTAAAGTAAAGCAGCCGACATCAAACTCTTTCAAGTATGAAGAGCACTGACCATTTGATCATTGTCCACTGCCATTTTTGAGAAGTACACATCCAAAAAAAAGCTTCGCTAGTTGACATTAGCTCGAAACACTATAATGTCCAATTCAATTATTGAAGGAGTTTAAAAAATATGATATTGTTAAGTGATCATAACTCGACTCTAGAAGGAATTCTCTAGTATGATTAGGAAGGCTACGTCCCTAAGATATCTAGAAGGAATCAGACTTCGCCCCCTTTGCCCAGTAGTCTCTCACCTCTTCTTTGCGGACGACTCATACCTTTTTTATCTACTTCACCATAATATTGTACAACTCTCCTCTCGGTCCTCCAAGTCTACGAGGAGTTGAGCGGAGAAAGAGTCAACTTAATTAAATCAGCCATCTTATTCAGTGAGAATACAGATCCTATTGAGGCACGAAGCATGGGTGCTCAATTGGGAGTGTGGAGAATAGGAGAGCAAGACTCTTATTTAGGACTACCAGCTATCCGATCAAGATCTAAGAGAGATTCATTTCTTTTTATAGAATAGAAGCTTATCAAAAAGCTTCAAGGGTGAAAACAACTGTCCCTATCCAAAGTCGGGAAAGAATCCCTTATTAGAAAACCACTAACATACTGATCCTCGAAATGTCATGCTTCAAACTCCCCAAGGAAAATTGCAGATGTCTAAACGGTCATGTGGTGAGGTTTTGGTGGGGAACAACAGACAATACGATCATTCGATTCATTGACTATCCTGAAAAAGCTTAGATCATAGTAAATTCCATGGAGGGCTCGAGTCAAGAGACTTTAGTGCATTTAATCAAGCTCTACTAGCTAAACAATGTTGGAAAATCTGGACTAATCTAAACTTTCTCCACCTCCAGATCTATAAGGGTCGATATTTTACTCTTTTTGAAATGTAATGTTCATTAAGAAAGCAACTGGGCTCAGCCCACAAAGGAAATGTACAAGCAGAACAAAGCAACTAGGATTGCAAAAAAACAACCCAACCACAAGGCCCACAGACAAATAGGGTCCAGGCCCAAGGCCAAAACAAGTTGAGTCCCTCCCACAACCCTAGACGCAGCCGCCCCCTCTGTCATCTTCCAACCGCCGTAGCAGAGGACCAGCCACCGGAAACAACCACGTCGAAGCACGCCACCGTGAGCCGCATCCCAGAACGGCCATCCACCAACCCGGAAGGCGAGCGGAGGAGGACATCACCTCCGGCCATCTCACCCCGAGCCGATCGCCGCAAGCATCCCGCCGCCACACAAAGGAAACCTTCAGTCGATATTTTACTCAATGCTAAGTATTAGAAGCCCCAATAGGCTCAAACCCATTGTGTGGATGGAGAAGTTTGCTATTCGTAAGAGATCTCCTTGTTAATGGGTTAAAATGGCATATAGGCAAAATGCAGGATAGCAGAGCATTCCTTGATAACTGGCTACCGGGTGACAAACCTTAAATCCCAAACATCAGATTCCAGAATCCGATTGGGTCTCCTATGGTTTCTTAGTTCATTATAGAAGGCCTATGGGAGGGGAACATCTCAAGGCTTCAATTCTTCTTCGAACCTCAATATGTCGATCTAATAAAGAGGATCCCTCTACCTCGCCTCCCTGAACAGGATACTAGAGTGTGTCACTACTCCAAAGATGGAAAATACGCAATCAAATCAGGCTTTCACCTAACCCTAGAATCAACTTTGGCCTTATCTAGAAAACAAATAGTCCATATCATTGATCCTCCCATTTGGAAAAAGACTTGGAATATCCAAGTTCCTCCTAAACTTAAAATTTCATTTGAAAATTCCTCAAGGTCATTCTACCCACAGTGGTTTCCTTACAAACACGTGGAGTTAATTGTCTCAATTGATGTCCTGTGTGTTGGAGACATCGATAGAGCATTAAACACTTATTCTTTAGATGCCCCCTAACCACCAGATTGTGGACCTTAGTGGGATTGAGCAACTTCATTGATTCCACCCCGACTATTAATTTTAGTCTTGGTGGCAACATGTCATGATCTCTGAGATCTCCCCATTCCACATTCTCCAGTACGTATGTTTACTTCGGAGAATCTGGAAGTCTAGAAATAAAGTGTTTTTTGAATTTTACCAACCTTTTGTCTGTTCTCTAGCCAGAAAATTCTACAACCAGGTCCTTGAAGTCTTCAGTTTATTTCCCCCTCCACCGCCCCCAGGCAGTCCCTCTTTATCCTCCTTCAGCCATCTGGGAGCCTCCACCAGGTGATTTTTTGAAGATAAACTTTGACGCAGCTGTTGGCGACTCAAGTTGCTCGTCTGAACTTTTTATACGTGGGTCAGACGGGCATGTGGTCTTGGCAACCGATTTGTGTCATTTTGGGTTAGTCAACTCTTACTTGGCAGAGCACCTAGCAATTAGAGATGCTATCATAGTTGTTGCTTCAAGATTTATGACTCACGTGATAGTGGAAGGTGATTCTAAGGTGGTTATCAATCAGATCCCGAAGGTGTCATAGAAGATTCGATTGGTGGTCCGGTGTTCTGAGAGTGTCTCAGATCTTACATTTCTTGTCAGTATGTATAGAGTTTAGGACGGTTCCTATAGCCGCCAACAGTGCCGCCCATAGAGTGGCGTGTAAAACACTGATTTTGTCTCTCATAGAGCTAGAGTCTTTTGATTTTCTTGAATAGCTTCAATAGATTATTGATTGTACGGAGTACTTGAGTAGCTTTGTTTATACAACGATTTTTTTTCCGAGCTATTGTTTTTTCTTAATATCACTCGGAAAAAAAAAATCAACTTAGTCAATGTACAACAAAAATAGATATATACTTATAGGGTTAAAGACACATTTGGTCACTGAGATTACAAAATCGGGACATGTTTAG